CTGCTCACAGACTCCTTGCTCAGCTGTGCCCAATCTCTACCCTCATCCAACTCCTAGTACCAGTTCCTAGCCCCCTTGATTTCACTGTCCCAGTCTATCCTCACATGTCCAAATCTTGTCCTGTTCAATGGCTGGGCAAGGGAGCATTGACAGCATACCCAGTGATGCGGCACTGACAGCGTAGCAGAGACCATTTCCCTGATTTTATTTCAAGGCTGAACCTGTCAAAACCTGCAGAAGCCTGGAGCTGCAACTGTAGTTAAAGTTTTGTTGCAACATGCATGCCCAGGTCCAGACAGAACATCCAGTAATTTAGTTGCTACAATCTGAGAACTGTCAACTGAACCCATGAACTATAAGCCTTCAAAACCTCGCTGGCCAAATTTGGACAGATTTTCAGAGACAACAAATGGCTCATTCCCAACCCAAAGGGAAGGCAACTGCCAAATTTTTCAGTCTATGATCCAAAGCTTGGGAGTGTGAGCACTTTTCAAAGAAAAGTTGCCAGAATTCATTTATTTACTTGCACAAAGGCCAGCAGTGGCTGGATATTAAAAAAATAAAAAAAATAAGAGTTGGGTTTAAGCAGACATGCTCCCCCTGGAAAAGTTCATCTGAAACAGTTGAAATTTGAGGGAAAAACAGTTATAAGCAGCTAGATGCAGATTTTTATAATTAGGGATCACTGTATCTTGGGCTTCATGGGATTTCAAGGGAAAGTCCAAAATTTAGCGTTTCCCCCTGAAGTCCTGGAAAACTGTGATCACAAAAAGACAGAAAGAAGTCTTGCAGACATCAGACCAGCCATTGAACACAATGCTTGATCTCTGGGAAGCTGAATATACAAATAAATAGCCATTAATCAAAAAGCAACTATGGGGGAAATTTGCAGGGGAGGGGGGAAAGGGAGGGGGAAGGAGTGGAAGAGAACACACACAACTGTGTGCGTAGCACTACAATAATGAAGAAATCTTACTCATTGTGGAGGAGTTACTTTTGCTTTTCTGATGATGTGCCCTTAACACAGAATAGCTGTGTGTCAAAATGATGAGCCTTTTAAATAACCCATTCCCCCTAATTTAAGCACACCAATGGACTAGGTAGTAAACTGCCTTTTTATCATATCATCAGTAAGTCACTATATCTTGGGAAAGCTTTGTAATTAGGGAGCCAGACCCTCAGTTGATATAAGTTTTGCCTCAGCTCCATGGACTTCAATGCTGATTTACACTAGCTTAGAATCCAGTCCCATTTTACATTACCACCATATTTAAAAGGCTAAGTAGTTAAATTCGTACATTCTAATTCTCAGAGATAATTACTACTTCCAGGAAGAAAGGAAAGGAAAGCTGCATTTGCTGAGAGATCATCAGAGGGAGGGGGAAAGAAAAAAAAAAGGATGACAACTCTCAAATGACAATTTATGGAGATTTCCAATCTATACTCAAGAGAAGCCTTTGACTAGAATAGTATGTGCATTTATAGATCATCACTGAGCTGCACTGACACCACTGTGAAGGAGAGGAAGGGAGAGAGAAAATGTATTATATTGAGAGGCAAACAATGATACGCCTTATCTTGCTCCAAATCTTTAAGTAGAATTTTTCTCCCTCCTATTCTACGGTGTGCGTGTGCATCACACACACTGACATCTACGCTACTGTTAGTTAGTAGGGCTACTGGTAAAAAAAAAAAACAAACCTCCCCATCTTCTTGCTTTCTAAATGAAAAGACTTCCTGGTTTTGGTCCCCATTTCAGTAAGATGCAGCAGTTCCAGTAATGTCAAAGGAGGGTGGTCAGCTGCTTAAAATTATGCCTGATGAAACAGAGCACCCAAAGCCTTATGTACAGACCCTCCATATAAGATCCTTTGGTGGGAAATAATAGCAGTGAGATTAAATCAGAAGGGAAAATAATATTAATTTTCACACAGAAGAGTGCGATATGTCCATCTGGACTCTTTACATCCAGACTCAAACTCTTTTCGAGAAAGAGCTTGAATTCAACTACGAGTTGTCCAACTAAGTTAATGAATCACTGGGCAAGATCTAGATTTGTGTTACAGAGAAGGTTAGACTAGATCACAATCATTCCTTCTGACCTCAGAAATGTATAAAAAGGATGGAAATATATTTAGGACCATGGTCCATTAGGTGATGTTATACAAAGTTTTATTTTCCTACACAACAAAACCCAGAGAAAGCAGCCATACAGGCACAGTTGCATCCTCAATAATGATGGTTACCAAATAAGCCCAAACATACAAAGGACTGCTATTATTAATTTCTAAAACATACGTAAGCACCAGTAAAGGATTCAAAGATTATTTAAGGAGGGATACTACTGTATTCTCAGACAAAACAGACAAAGATCTGAGACTGTATGAACATGACAAATCACTTTCTATGCAATTCTGGAATTCATAACCATAAAACAATACCAGGAGTAGAATCTTCAAAGGCAGCTCTTGATATTAAAACTTGAATCTTTAGAGTTATTTCTGTATTATTACCAGTAATTTATTTTTTAAATTATATTTAAACTAGTAATCATCTTTTTGCCACATTTAATCTCATGGATAGTCCTCTAGATGCTCTCAAATTTAGTCCTCAGTAGTTGAAACACTTAAATATTTTAACTCCCAAAGTTTTAATAGTCAAAATATTCAGGATAAGATGCATTTTCATGTTTTTCTCCCAGTGATACATTACACCATACATTAAACACCACATACTGAATTGAGGTATTTGAAAACTAGATTCCAGAGGTAGATCCTCCACATTTTCATATTAGCTTTTCAAGTAAAGCTATGGAAGAATACAGGAAGTAGCCTGAATAGGGTAGATAAAGATTTAAACTTTAATCTTTTGTCATCTTTTATTATATGGCAATTTGAAAGGCAGTAGTATTTGATGTCCAGGTTTGTCATGACAATATAGTGTCAGAATAAACAAAAGTTATTTATCTGGAGAAGGCTCTTACAGACAGCAACTCACTAGATGTTCCATGGTTTGTAGGTCTTCTCCACAGTCACGTACTGGCAGGGATCTCCAGAATTCACACTGGAACTGCACCGCACAGCAACTTCTTTAATCTTGGGAGTTTTCCTGCACTGCCACCGATTGGTGGAGGGGCCCTATAGCTTGATGCTTGTGTCTAATGGCCGGTAGGTGAAAACTGCAGCATATTTAAAATTGTGGTTTTCTCCTTCTGGCCATCAGGGGTGGGCAGTGAGTGATGGGACCCTCTACCAATCAGTGGCAGGGCAGGCATGGGGGGGAAACTCCAAGATTAAAGAAGCCACCACACTGTGCACTTCTTGCGCGAATTGCGGAGATCCCTACATACTGGACTATCCTTCATCTTCCATTTACGTATCAGTGTGGTTAACTGCAGCACCAGTGTTAGGTTCTATCATTGTTCCCTGACTGCTCAGCAATACTGAATGAAGTAGGTCCCCCCCTCCAATTTTTTTTGACAATCCTCAAAAATTTTCCATCATATCCAAAAGGAAAAGCAACATTTTGAGTATACCTTCACTGCACAGTTACTCAAGTCAGTTTCAGTGTGAACACATATGTCCCTATAGCAAAGCCCTACCCACATTTTGGTATCTTCACTGTTTCTCCATTCTCCCATGTATGTTCCATGGTGTATCTATGAAATGAAGTCTATTTGTGCCTGCTCAAGACAGCCCCGTGTGGGCTGCGAGTAGCTGTAGCATAGAGCACCAGCCATGGGGCCGGCAAGGGGCCGCTTTTCCCCACGCTCAGCTTTTCCCCAGGCTACTTTTCCATGGGCTCCCTCCCTGCCCGGGGTCCTCCCCTGCCCTCCCCCACTTACCTGAGGTTCTGGCACTGGGGCAGCCACGTGGTCCCAGGCCAGAAGCTCTTGCTGGGGCTTCTGGCTGTGGGGGGCGGGGCGGGGCCAGCCCTGCTGTTATGGGAACCCACAGGGGCTTCCCCTGGCTCCTACTGCCCCTGACTCCTGTCATTTTTGACAGGAACCAAGAGCAAATAAATATAAATTTTGTAAATTTTATTAGGGGCCCCGCAGGCCACCTAGCCCACCCCTGATAAAAGCTCTCTGCTTAGCAATGGCAGCTTAACATTTGGCCTAAAACCCTGGAAGAAGCATGAGTTATCTGTGTACAAACTACCCTAGCATTATGATCTGCAAAAATAACGCATTATGTGTTGCTAGATACACACATATTAATCATTTGGTCTGAAGTACATAGAGGTTATTTCAGGATATGTCTACACTGCAGCCCAAAAAGCAAGGCAAATTAGTGCATGCTGAGCTCATGCTGGCGTGGCTAGATTGTTTTGCATATGCAAATGAATCCATGTAACATTATCTCTAATCATAGCAGTGCAGACCCAGACCATCAGACTCCATTCCAAACTCAAGCAGGTTTCTCTTTTTTCTATTTGTCCTTTGCCAGTTTCAAGAGAATATTATTTTACTGCAGTTGCATTAACCAACAACATCTGTGGAAAATTTCCCCTAAATAACTTGTTGCCATACAACAACCAGGTATGACCAATTTCAAAACATTCTAGTAGAAACTAAATATGGTTGTGCATCATGCTATGACCTTTTTCTTTATCCAGCTCTCAAGTGTAATCCTTAGGACTGCATCTGAAATGTGCGCAAAGTGGTAATACTTAAAACAGTTTAATAAAAGTATATATTGTACTTAAAAATTATAAAATTAAACTCTCTTCTGTATTTCATTTCTTGCCTGAGTCACAACTGTTTTCAGTCTCAATAGTCAGAGTAAGAATTTAAACTGATTACAGGACAAAGTCTACCCCACAGATATTAACAAAACTTGTCTAATGACCATTAATATCCCAGCCCTCTTGACCTCCCCATCTGAGAGTTCATTCTCATTTTCATCTACAGAACAACATCTACATGCAGTTTAAAGCATTTGGCTTACCTTGTGTCTGCATTTAAGTACAACCCCATAGGCTCCTGGAAACAAAAGCAAAATGTATTACGGATATGTTGTTTCCAATACTATTTTCTTAGACCACATGCAAAGTGCCATATTTTCTCACATACAACATGCACCTTTCCCCCCAGGAACTGACTGCTGGAAATTGGAGTGCACATCATGTGAGACATACTGTAAGAGCAGGTTTTGCTGCTCACCAGGTAAAACTGAAAGTAAAATCTGCTGCTGCTCAGTTACTTACTACATGGAAAGATCTTTTTTGAGAAGCAGGATGGAGGAAAGAAACCACATGTATTATATTCCAGGGCATGCTGTATGCAACAAAATAAAGAACTTCACTGAATGTTTGTGCCATGTCAAATTATTAAAAAATAAGCCACTTAGAAATATTTTACAATCTATTTACTTTATTTTCTAGAAATATGATTATATATTTGATTTCAAACTCATGCTGGTATCCATACGTTTAATCTCAAGGGAATTCTTGGCTGCATTTGTAATGGTAAAATGGTCATTTTTCCATTTACAATATTATGAAAGCCTTCATAACTAAATGACAGTTTAGCTGAATATGTTGTCTCTGATTTACTTCTAAATCAGAGACAACATATTCAGTTTAATTCTGTCTAGTTCTTCAATGCCCAAAATTAGGAACAGACTTGCTATACAGCCGTCAAATTTTAATATGAGTGCATTGTGAAATAAATTTTTTTGCTGACTTGATAAAATACTTTCATTTAAGAACAAATTACCTTGATATTTCAAGACAAACATCAACAGTTTTCAAAGGGATTTTTTCCATTTATTAAAAAGAGGAATATTACAAGTAGCCCCTATTCCCATTCAGTTCTAATTTATATTAGATAAAGAAATGGCTTACCTTCACCTACAACCCCAAGGATCTCAAATTTATTCATCACATTACCGATGTTAGGAATCTTCATCAAGACAAATTCCTCTTATGTTGAGAGCCACAGAACATGGCACAAGAGTGAAGTGTCTAAGGGTTCACAGTAGGCAAAGAAAAAAAAAAACCCCCAAACCCGAAGGCTTCTGGTAGAAGAAATCCACGTTTGTCAACTGGGCTTCTCACATAGTTTTCCTAATCACTAAACATTCAGTAGTTTCCTGTGAAGAAAAGAATGCGATAATTAGCATCTTGTTTTACTGCAGCCAAAGAGAACCAATGGCAAAGATTCATAATCTTTGCTCTTAATACCATGCTAGTTTATCTCAAGAGTTATTTTGCAGTCATTTCACATTTTATGATCAACAGAATTCTGAAATACAGGGAAAGGATTTCAACACATTATGACTACATGTTTGACACATGGCAGAGCTGGTTTTGTAACCCCATGCACACAACAGAAGGTCTTTTAAAATAAAACTACATAAAAATGTTTC